CCACTTTCACTTCATGAGAACCCCCTGCCTTATATTATTACGCACTTTTTAACATTTTATCCCAGCTCTTTACACTTGACTGTGAATTTTAAATGTACTGCATTTTGCCAAATTATACTTGTATCACTTGTGTTTGTAAATTTTATATTTTTGATTCCCTGCGAAAGGTCTTAATGCTGAACCTATATGCATTTAACATCGCCATTTTTGGTCGTAATAATTGCTTGAGTTAACTTCATTATTGTGGCGAACGGCTGTATTGATAATGTTTGAGACGTCTATCATAAATCTCCTTTTGTCAAACGCTGTCTCTTGATTTTGTTTGTGTTTTTGAGTTTTTGCGGTGATGATGCGGTGGAGAGGGAGCAGCGTCTGCAATCAGAGCTTTATCGGACTGTTGTGGTGAAGAGAGAGCTGAGGCGAAAGGCAAAACTCTCTATTTACCAATCAATCTAAATTCCCTCTCACTTCTGGTCAAACAAGATCGCGTATAGAAGCGATGGGAGGGGGGGAGCTCGGAGTAGAGCCATTGCTTCTCCATATCGAGAGGAGCAAGTTGAGGTAGCTCGGGAATCTCTCAAAGCCTGGGGTTGTGTTCAAGGGATGTCCGACCAGGGGGAGACCAGGACAAGTGTTTTTTTTTATTTTTTTATCTTGATTTAACGAGATTCTCCAATAGGACAAAACTTTTTAGTCTTATTTTAAGAGCTGATTTTTATTTTCTCATTCCAAGGGAGATATTTCTTGTATATTTTCAAAGCAAGATCATTTTGGCAAATCTCGTAAAAAGGCTAAGTCACAATGTGCTCAAATTGAGAAATATTTTGCAAATTTTGAGCAGTTTTTGACTCATTTCTCATCACGTTTTTGCATCAAAGTTGCAGGGGCTACTGTATGTACCTCTGCTGGCTTGGGTTAGCGAAATTCTGGATGTCCCTGCTCAGACTGCCACCCCCGCAACCCGGCTACAGACAAAGCAGAAGAAAACGCAACTTGAACTTCACGTTTGCAGATTCTTTCCTAAACACCATATGAAATGCAGAAAACGCCGTCTCCGAGGAAAAGGGGCCCATTAGGAAAACTTATAAACCGCTCCCATGATGAAGGACTGCTCTGAAGATATTTTTATTTTTTATTTTATTCTTAGCAGAGGGGAGGCAGGTGGCGGAGTGGGAGGGCAGGTTGTTTGAAACTCACTCGCAGATAAAAGAAGCGCTTTTGGCAGAATTGACAGTAGGGTGGCAACAAGCATCTGTAGACCGTGGATAAGTCAGAGAAGGCGGCGGATTTCAAGAGTTGTGTTTGTCGAGTTTTGAAAAATCCTCTCCGTCTGAGGTCGCCGTGGCAAAGCGTCTGTCTGTTATGCGCCAATGCTAGCAGCGCTTTAAAGAAGACATGTTACACAGTTTTAATATTGTTTTTAGCTGTTGATTTTAGCTCACGTAACAATATTAGCATTTTCCCATTGGGCTAAAACACTGGAATTTTGACCAATAACCCCAAGTTTGTTTTACCTGTCAAAAAAAAAGGGGGGTTTACAGGACCATTTGTTTTGACATTTTATTAAGTAAATAACCTCAAAATCATGTTAAACAACCAAAATGCAGATGAAAAAACGTATTATTTATTTATGTAATTAGCCGCTGTTAAAACACATGCACGATTTTAAACTCACAAAATGGCAAAAAAAAAAAAAACTTTCTCTGTTTTGTAATAACCTCTTGAACTATCCCCAGGTACAATGCATCTCTTCCTTTGAGGTTTTTTTTTTTATTGTACACTGTCCTAATAAAAAATAAACTTAAAAAAAAACAATAATTATTGGGGCGTGTAATGAGCTGTTCATATCTTGGATTCACAATGTACCTTACATTTTGGAAAAAAAATAGACTTTTGAAACTGTCTGCAGCGGTCCAATCACACACTTTTCACAGACCAAATATGTCGGCCACGGTAAAGCCCACAACAACTAGCATGCTAACGCCTTGAATCGCATAGACGTAAATGAACTTTTGAACAATACTCTAGCCTGTCTGCAGCGGTCCAAACACACTAATCGCATTGCAATGAATATATAGGACAAAAGGGACAAGTGAGAGAGTGAGGAATGAGCCTGCAAACGCAAACATACAAGCCTATAATGTTTTTGTTTGGGTATATATACAGTTGGCTACAGAAGTTGCCGCGGCTTAGCTTATTTTGTGCTAGCTTATCACTTTGCCGTCTCTGAATCCTCGGCGGCCTCCGTTTGGCATCGACCCGCTCGTGATTTACACATAATATGAGTCATTGTTGCGGCCAGTGCCATCAGCCAATCAATGCTCGCCGCTGCTCGAACAGACCAATGAAATGTGGGGCTGTTTATGCGCTGCTAGCAATGCACTTTTCTCGCTTTTCATCCAGTCAAACTTTTTGCAACATTTGGAAAACGCCCCGGCCCTCTTGGCTCGCCGTTTAAATCACTCCTATGGCTTCTCCATCACACGCCGCCGCTGTCAAGCCTTTTAATATTTCTCATTACTTAATGGACCTGATTGCGTTCATAAAAGTCCGCCCTAAGCATTTCTGGTCCACGGGCATATTCGCAAAATCACTCCTGCTCCGTCAGACTAAGAGGGGAGAGAGCTGAGAACGATCCCTGGGCTTTTTCTTTGTTTCTTTTTGCCTGAATCTAAGTCAGGACTCAGTGCTAATTGGGAAAGAAAAGTAGCTTTCAGATCTTTGGGATGTTTCTACTCAAAGTGGTGGACCCCAGGGTTTAAGAGCGAATCATTAAAAAGAATGAGGCGGCTTCACTATGTGTTTTAGTGTAGTGTAGTGTAGTGTGATTAATAATAATAAAATGATAATAAAAATGTTAATAAAATGATAATTTTAATGATGATAAAATGATGACAAAATGATAATAATAATGATAATAAAATGATGATAAAATGATGATAAAATGATAATAAAATTATAATAATAATGATAATAAAATGATAATAAAAAATAAAAATGATACAATACAAAAATGGTAACAATAATGATGATGATGATAACAAATAATAATAATTAAAACAACAACAATAATAATAATAATAATATAAATAAATAAATATATTGGTGGTGGTGGTCAGAGAGGCAGATGGCCCACACTAGTTGCCTCGTTCCAGGGCAGCTGTGGCTACAGACCAGGGAATCAGGACTTTGAATGCCTATTAAAAGCCTACGACATAATACCACTGCTAACATATTCTCGTTTCTTTCTCTCGTGCCCAATGTTTTTGTTCAGTCTCATTCAAATGCATATCAGTAATGACCAAAGTTCCTACAGTCTTTTTATAGCATTCGACAGTAGACACAGCACATGTTAAAATCCCTAATAGAAAAATGACCTTATCTGGCTGCGGAAATGAGGCTTGCTATCTTTTTTTCATATCGACTAAATGAGTTTTTGCACCTCTTATCTTTGTGAATATCTATTACTCTTTCACTGCCTCATAATGCGTTTTTGGTGCCTTTGCCCTCTGCATGCAGCTGCCTACATTCTCTCCTCTTCCCCCCAAAAGGATTTTAATATCAATTTCTCTGAATAAACCCAATTCAAGCAGCCTCCAAACCTCTCGCTCTGCACTTGAAAGTAGAAAGAGCTTTTTGAACCAGTTGAATTCCACCACACTGAAGGCAAAGGAGCGTGTGTGAGAGTATAGAGGAATAAAGAAGGTGTTTTTGGTGTGAATGGAGCTGCCTTTTACCGTCACTTCTTCTTCGGCTGTTTTCGAGCGGCTCTAAAGGCCAAATAAAACAGATCCGGTTTTGCAGGTAATCTCTGGGAACTTTCATTTGAGAGCGATTGTGAGACCGGAAATCTTCATGAGAAATGTCATTGTTTTGGTCAATGGCAGTGGCAGTGGATGGATCCTTTTTCAGGACGACGTTGGCAAACTCCTTTTAGCCATTCGACAAAATCTGGCGCTACAATGGATTAGAAATGGTTTGGAAGTAGTTTTTATCTTGATTTTAAAACTTTTTGACTTACTTAAAACATTGGAACAACCTCATTTCCTCATTTAGTCTCATTTCCAGCACAGATAAAGCAAATATTACGTGTTCTTTTGTCAAATCTTGTTTTAAGGCCTTCAACATTTACTCTTATCAATTTAAACAAATGTGGGAAATTTCTAACTTTTTTATTATATATATTTTTTTTGTGTTTCTTAAATTTACTTCTAAAATGATCCTTTGTGGAGCTACTATGAAGAGGGTGGTGAGCTACAGGCTGTAGACCCATGTTTTAAATGATGTTCTAAATGATACTTTTCTTTCCCCACTTTGTTTTATTGAATTTATTTGACACTTCATGTCTTTTTGCTCAGTCTGAGTGATTCTATCTGTGCCAAATGTGATGTGTACATTTATCCACTGAGAGATCAATAAAGTTTATTTTATGAGAGACAAAAGCATGGGCAGATGTTAAAGGGGATATAACACACAGGGGGGAGAAAATACATTTATCTGACAAGAAATGGCTTCACACAACCCTGAACAAAGTGTATTATAATTTCACTACCTCCTCAATTAAAATACATGGATAGATTTCTTTGTTCTGTGATTAAGCCAATGAATGGGTATTTTGTTTTCCTTTTTCGCACAATAGAGGTGAAAGTTAATTTATTTCTATCATTTAACTTCAACCATGAAACCAATCCATGATAAAAGTGCAACCTGCAAAGTGAGACATGCCTTTGTTATAATGTGGCTCTCAGTCCATTTCCAGAGTATTCTAATTCTCTGAGATGTCTTATTTGGGGGTTTTTTCCCAAGCTGTGAGCCAGAATGATCAAGTATTACAAATACAGCCTTGATGTATATCTCACTCTACAAGTAAGCTAGCTATAACAGAAGTAAATGGACGTTTCACTTGCATATACAGCTGTAAGATTTGATATTCCAACATGTTTAGAGCCTTCTGAATGACTCATTTTGCTCAAAGCCGTCTTTCTTTGCTTCTCCTCCAGACCCCAGACCTATGGATTTCGGCAAAGACCCCGTTTTCAACAGACCGACCATCGACCAAGGTTTTTACACATCATTTCTCTCTCTCTCACTCACACACTTCCCGAAGCTGGCTCGCGGCTCTATCAGCTATTTTAAAAGTCTTCCCTCTGAGTACAGCTGCAGCTATGGGCTCGCCTGCGGCATTATCTGGCAATTGTGGTTCCCCTCCGTAAGAAAGTAAGTCCTGAGGCGGCGTTACAGCCCCAGTCTGTGTGGAGGGGGTTTCAAAGTGCATCCATGCTTAGTGCAGAGATGGTTTTCTACGTTTTTACAAGTTGAAAACAGGGGAACGAGACAGGAGCGCTCCAGGGCTGAGAACATGCGTCTGAAACAATAACAGATCACGACGACAATTGGGGTTTGTGAAGTAAAAACTGGTGCAAATGTGCAGTCGTGGAAGAAATGAAGGATTTACAAAAACAAAACCGAGACATTACACTATTTTAAATCTGTAACAATGACAGGAAAGGGCAAAAACTAAGTCACTAAGAAGACACTAATACAATCGTGAAGGGAACATTGGTGTGCCATCTGCTAAGGCCATTGAGCTTGATTCTCTGATCTGTTGTTGGTGAATCGACAACTTTGTAAAGTTCTCAGAGACGACTGATGTTCACTGCAAAAATTTAGTAAAAATAAGTAAATAGAATTTTCGAAAGATAGAAAACCAGCATAACATCAGAGGAAAGACAGGAGAGGACCAGGATACCACTAGGAGAAAGATAGGAAAGGACCAGGATAACACTAGGAGAAAGACAGGAGATCGAGACCGGCATAACACTAGGAGAAAGACAGGAGATCGAGACCGGCATAACACTAGGAGAAAGACAGGAGAGGACCGGCATAACACTAGGAGAAAGATAGGAAAGGACCAGGATAACACTATGAGAAGGACAAGAGAGGACCAGGATAACACTAAGAGAAGGACAGGAGATGACCTTTAGTGCTCTGTCCATTCAAACCCAGACGAATCCACTCATTCGCAATGAGAAGCTCTGAGAAAGCAAACATCTCATATTTACTACTGGATTTCACTAAATTCTTAAGAATTAGACGTCTTTCCATGGAAACTGCGCTACTTGACAAACATAGCGCCTAATAACTTCCAAATAATTACAATCATCCATGCATTTTTGTCCCCTTAATCCATTTCTGGGTCTGGGGGTTGCAGTCAGAGCTGCACCCAATTCCCAGAGCACCAGCGCCTATGATCCAGAGCACTGATCCTCCTGCAGTTAGTGAGTCCACCTTGCCCAACAACACAACGACAGCAGACATCAGTGGGAGTAGGTGAAGTAGGTCTCGTGGTGGGATCGAACCCACGACCTTCAGGCTCAAAGGCCAATGCTCTACCAACTGAGCCACTGTCGCCCCTTAATAATAATAATAATAATAATAATAATAATAATAATAATAATAATAATAATAATAATAATAATAATAATAATAATAATAATAATAATAATAATAATAATAATAATAATAAATAATAATTAGAGTAATACAAAGCACCCCATCATTTTTGCAAAACACAAAACTCGCTACAAGAATTGGCTTTCACTTCTTCAATAGTCAATTTCAGATTTGAATATTATTTTTGCCGATATCACTTGAATGGATTTCACGGCTGATCACGCACGTCTCAAAGCTGTCAAAGCCGCCACAGCGTCTTTCGGGGAGGACCTGTTCCCCGTCTCCTGAGATAAATCAAACAATAAGTCATTTCCCAAACTGGATTTTCACTTATTAGCGTCGGCGTGTGAAGCGGACGGGAGCGAAGGTGCTTTTTGTGTGGAGTGGTTAGTGACAGGTGCAGGGAGCCATGTTTAATCCTCTAAATGAATGGATGCACATGAAGAAGAAACACCGCAATTAAACACAATGGCTTCATGAGAGTGGAGTGGGGTGGAAGAGGACGCAGCACTTTAAGGCCTCTCTGTTGTCTCTGTCAGAACGAGCCGAGGAAAAATGATGGATATGAGAACAAAGGCAACAATGGTTATGGTGTTATGTGATTAGAAAATAGAAAAGTCAACGTAAAACAGCAGACTGTCTGTGTCATCTACAGGTGGAACTTAGAATGGGAAAAGAATGTCCATCACAAAACCATTGAACCAAGATCCACAGACGAATCTTCCGAACATACTTAAAAAAGACACATTTTCTATGAGTTTTTGCTTGTCTTTTGCTCCTTTTATATTTGCAGAGTATGTTATAGAGTCGTGCTTTAGATTCAGTATTCTAGAGTCTGTGTGTAAAATAAACCTCACAGAGACAGGATGGAGCCACCTGAAAGTCTTTTCAGTTTCTCTTAGTTCTTTTCAGGTTTTTTCAGACAGAACAAAAACTGAATACATTCCCAGGTGGCTCCATCCCGTCTCTGTGAGGTTAATTTTCCACGTCTGTTTTTGGTTAAAAATAAAAATTATGTGATTTTTTGGAACTTATGGATTGTCAAAGAAGACAAAGGAAGGTCTATACCATGTAAGGTGGACGCAGACCACACAAATGTCAATTACAAGAAAGAAGATCCATTGACAAAATCTACCAAATATACTTCGATAAACGACAACGACAACAACAACTTATTCTTGTATAGCCGTAAATCATAACATACTGTAAGTCATCTCAGAGGACTTAACAAAACCATTGAAATCACCGATACAGATCAGAGAAACAACAGTTAAAATACAAAACATTCACATTTGTTTTGGTCCATAGGGAAAGACCAATGTCCATGAATGTTGATAAATCCAGTCCTTCTAGTTGGACACTAAAGCCTAGCGTACATCGGACTGGCAACTGATTATATCCGTCGCATACGAGTTGCTGCCCCGCACACATCGACAATCTGACGAAAACGGGCAACTCCCATTAGCAGACCAGTCTCGGGAATAACAGCGCGTACATCGACAGCAACTGGCCTCAACTACAGTGTGTTTTCTGACATAAACTGTTGCGGGCTCGCAATACACACACGTTGTCGGAGCGGCGCATGGAGCGCGCACATCGGGTCATATCTCCGAAACTGAGGACAACTAGTTGCCGAAAAGTAGAACACGGGCAACTGACTGAAACTGGAGACCTACTGTTCATCTCCAGTTGTAAGAGCGCGCACATCGACCGATTTCGGCAACTGATCATCTCCCACCATCTCCTCTCAGTTGCCAAAAGCTGCCTTGCAACTAGTTGTCTCCAGTTTCTCTGTCGATGTACGCTAGGCTTAACTGCCCAACAGACCCTCCTGTAACGGCAAGGAAAAACTCACAAGAAACCAGTGGGAAAAAAAGTGAGAAACCCCGGGGAGATCTATTTCTGACCAAGGAAGTCGCACATTCAAATCAACTCAATCTATTTTTGTACAGCCCTAAATTTCAACAGTAGGGTCCCATTATCAGGCCATGAAACAGACAATGGGACAGTGGGTGAATAGCAATGAACAGACTACAGCTGAAGTCATAATGAGGACAGAAATCGTAGGTAGAGGAGAGTGCTCAGGTTTCTACACTCTCCAAATGCAGCTCGACTGACACCCTCTCTCTTGTCCCCACAGAGTACGTGTTCCCCGGCTGGTCCTCCCCCTTCTCCACCCCCTCCTCCGCCGACTCGGACCCCTCCTCCGTCACCATGATGTCGGAGAAGGACAAGGACAACGCCTGGCTCTACACGCTGGACCCCATCCTCCTCACCATCATCGTCATGAGCTCCCTGGGCGTGCTCCTGGGGGCCATTTGCGCGGGACTTCTCCTCTACTGCACCTGCTCCTACAGCGGCCTCTCGTCGAGATCCTCCACCACGCTGGAGAATTACAACTTCGAACTCTACGACGGCATCAAGCATAAAGTCAAGATCAACCAGCAGAGGTGTTGCTCCGAAGCTTGAAACCGTCGGGGACATTTTTGGGTTTTGAACCGCGAGAATCAACAAGCACTATGTAAAACTCAATGTACCTGCTATACCGCTGATGTCCAAAAGGGGGCCGCATCCTTTTGCAAGACTATAAAACGGGATCGCTGCTGTTCTCCCGATGAGGCCTCAAAAAGTGACATACTATCTCTGCCTGCAAAGCCTGTGAATGAATGAATGAATGAAGAAATGAAGATGCAATTTTGTTTGTTGTTTTTTTTTTTGTATGGGAAAAACCCCCACGGACACAGCGAGGAATAACAAGGACCCATGGCCACATTGACAATCGTTGGACATTTTTGGACGAAATGGCAGCACACGGTCGAACGGGGACGGTTTTGGTGTGGGATTCTGCATGAAGTTGTCGATTATTGTGCCAAATTAGCAGGCGTAAGAACCTCCTACAAGCTCCCAGTGGGTCAAGACATATCAACTGAATGCCTATAGAAGTCTATCAGATGTCGCTAACTAGATTATAGAGAGGAAAGGATCAGATATTTCCATTAGTTGATTTTTTTTATATATGAGTTATTACTATTAAGGAGAGGCCGCCGTGGTTCCTGGCCTCGACGGTCCGCGCTTCGTGAATCCAGTGGCATAGAAGAGTAAAGGTTTTATGTTGTAGACTTGTGTCCTATGAAAAAAAAGATGTCAGCTTGAGTTTTGTAAACGCCCTGTAGAGAGATAAACGCCATCTTTGTTTTAGACTTTTGTTAGCTTGTGTTGATTCCGTTGTTCGGAGTTGGTGTAGCCGTGATCGGGCAAAGCTTTAAGGCCTCAAAAAAGTAAGATTTGTCTGGTAAAACTGGGCACTAAATCAAAAAATTCTAAAAAAATGCGGCCAACTTAGGGATGTTTGCGAACCAATGCTTTCCAATTTCTCGCATTCAAAGTGAAGGATGCTAACGGCGTCCTTCCAAAAAACATACAACTGTGACTTTTTACCATGGAGCAACTACTTTTAGCATTAAACAAATACGTGGCTATATGTTAGACAGGTGGTGGTATTGTTTTGCCCGATCTACATACACCTTTCTCCACATTTTCCGTTGCTTTCTGGCGTATTGAAATTGCTGAGAATAGACAGAAAATCAAAAGTTTATCTTAATCTAACATGCTGTTATGGAGTCGTGCTTTAGATTCAGTATTCTAGAGTCTGTCTTTGGTAAACATATATATTTTTTTGATTTCCCTGATTATGGACAGACACTGTGTGGAGGAAAAAATAATGTCATGTGATTGTTTTTTATTGCAACCTATGGATTGCCAAAGAAGACAAAGAAAGGTCTCTACCATGTAAGGTGGACGCAAACCGGACCGAACCATCTCACCCACGTGTCCGCGGAGATCGACGGTAAAAAGAGAGCGAAGGATTTATAACGAAAGGAGAGAGCGGTCCCATTGACTTTCTTGGACACAAACGAGCCTTAAGCTAACTACAGTATAAACGCTGTATCGGAGGACAGCCATTGAAGTGGGCCAGTGCCGTGCGAAAGACTGAAAACCGGTCGTCATTCAACTTCATCTCACACACACACACTTCATAACACTGGGAAGACTTGGATATGTTTACATGCAATTTAGTGGGATTGTAATTTTATCCACCGACACACAACTGGACCTATGTATGTATACACAGCTTTTATAATAGATTTATAATTCAACATTGTCAAATTTCACTGCATTCAAAACGCCCCATTTTTATACAAGACATTAAGACACATGCTTCAGATTCAAATTCAAGGTAAAAAACTACTGAAATTGCTGGCGAGTATTTGGAAAAAGCATGTAAAAAAAGAACAAAGTCTGCACACTTCCGCATTCAGTCCTGCCGCATTGTTCTGCACTCTGCCTCTTTTCATGACCACACCGGAAACATGGTCAAATCTAAATTAAAACCGGGGGACCCAATTTTTAAACCAGGAAAAAATGAATTGCATTTTATTTATTTATTTTTGAAGTGATGTTTTGACCAAATTTTGCTAATTTCAAACTCTGCTCATTCCCGAAACAATTGACTTTTTTTTCCGCAAATCAAAACACTAAGTATGAAAAGAACTTACGTACTATGCGAGCTACTGTGACAACACTATTTTCCTTATGGTTCAACAAAGTCTAAGAACTGAAGACGACGTTACACACTCAAATTTGGACCAACACCAACGAAAACTACTTCCAAAGAATGAAAAATGCATCAAACCCCAACAGCTTTTTTCCTCAGGGTTTTGAACCAACATCCTCTCGGAGGTTTCACATTAACATTGACATTTTAGTTCCAACACGACAAAAAAAGCATTTATTACTCACCACCAAACTCACACTAACTCTCGTCACTGACAGTAGCAGCCCTGAGCCTTGGGGTCCGAAGCACTTTCAGACCTCGCTATTTTCAACGTCGACCTACCTCTCGCATCGGAACAAAATATGAATATTCTACGCAACATTAGAAACATGAAATCACAGCGTTTTACTGTTTTAGGGTATTTATTTTCAATCCATTCATGATTGTTTTTACATTATTTGCATGTGAATGTATCCGGTCCCACCCATGCTACACAGTACAGTGCTAAAGTTAGATGCTAATTTGTGTTTTTTTTTATTGTCAGTGTAAGTAACAGGTTGTGACGAACTAGGAATTTGCTTTGGCTCAAGGCGGAAACAAGTCATAAAAGCAAAGTGAATATATATATCGGCATGCAAATGTATTAGTGTCCTGTACGTAAACAACATCAAGTCGCAAACATTCTCGGGAAGTCAAGTTTCCAAAAGTCAAAGTTGGGAAAACTAAACAGCGATTATCTTTACCTTTGCGAGATATGAGAGCGTCGTTTCGCTTTGGTCTTTGCTCTCGTCGGGCTCAAAGTGAATTGTTTTAGTGATTTTTGTAGTTTTACACTGTACTGTATAGGACGTGGTTTAATCACAGATGACGTGGATGGAAGCAGAGGGAGAGAAACACATTCAGAAATATCAACAAATGTTATTGAAATGATTGCGAGAGAAAAGAGGGAACTAGATCTATGGGCCAAGAATTGAAAATGATTGATTTCTATTGATCGGCAAATTCAGGAGTCAGACGGTGAAAAGAGTGATTCAATTTAAATATCTATTTTTTTTTATCAGTGAGTATTCATTTGCAGACAGAGCACCACTGGGTACATAAAAACACAGAGACGCAAGATTTTAAATACGATTAAAGTGCAGAAATTAAGAAGAAGAAGAAAATCGTTAAAGTGTCTTGCCCTAGGACACAACGACAGCAGACATCAGTGGGAGTCGGTGGACAAGGTCTCGTGGTGGGATCGACCACAGAGCCACCGCCGTCCCAAACGCAGAATAAAACCAATAAACGTGCATTTCTGAACATTTATTGTGATCAAACCAATGATGCGTGTGATTAAGAAAAACCACTCAGAATATTAAATACAAAGAAAATATAAATGAGGATTATGTTTTACTTTTGAGCATCTTGCAACAATGTATTAAGTATTTTTTGTGTTTTGCAAATTTATATATTTGTCTTATTTTTTCAATATATTTTCAATTCACAAGCAACACCACTTTTTTGCCCATAAAGAATCAGCCAATACTGTAGAATGTGTAAATCATGACTCCAATTGATATCCACAGTTTTTAGTCACTTTTTTTACTTTTCCCAAACTTTTTTTCACAAGTTTTGACTCTTTGATGAATTCACCCTTAAAATTCCTTATTAAAAGTCCATTTAGATAGAGGAGGAGAAATGCTCGATGGTTCGGAGCAGTTTCACATAATGGACGTATTTCCAAGTGCCTTTGGACCTGTTGTGTCTCTCTCTCTCTCCACATTCACTAAATCACAGCCAAACACTTTGAACCCATTTCAGTATTACCTCCTGGTCGTCATGGAGACACAGACACACACAGACACAGACGCACACACACACACACACGTCATCCACACCAGCGGCACTGGCCAGAAACTCAACTGTTGTTTGTAGACTTTGTACAGAAAACTTTCTTTTTTAATGTTATTATTATTTAATAAAGGAGAAATAACAAGTGATTCTTGCTCTGAGTGCGTCGTGTTTTGTCTTGTCGTCTGCATTCATGTAAAAAAAGAAACAAAACGTATGGAGATGATTGAGAAAAAGCAGCAAAATGAGTTCTACAGTGAGATGTTTGTCTTTTTTTCATGGCTTTGAACCGGCATCACTCATGTCTTTGGGTGGGGTTTACTTATTTTAGTATATTTTATTAGAATTACAACAGAAGAGAAAACAGCTGTAGCTTCCTCACATTTCACACAGGACTTTCTGAGATTCTACCAACATTTTAATCAAGGGTTTGTGTCCGGGGCTGGTGATTGTAGAGGCACATTCCCCCTATGTATAGCGCAAAATAACTTAAATCAACAGATAAGTTCTTTACATATATATTTTCAAATAAACATTGTTTTCGCATCTTAATTTTACACTATTTATTCTGTAGCTAAAAACTCAAATATTAAACATTTTCGTGCCAAGAACAGCAGCCACAATTTTGCTTTCTTTCTATCTGATGCTTTGATTAAAGGAACCCTGGATCCTTTATCTTTGGACGTTTTGAAATGTGTGACCAGTTTGTGAGGTTCTTCTCGGATCTATTTTATTCAGAAAGACAGGAGTTCTATGTTGTCTTTGGGGTTTTATTATCAGCATCGCTTTCAATAATGGCCGAGGAAATGTGTTTTAGAAGGTTTTGTGAGAGATGAACTTTGATCATCTTCAAACGGGATCTTCTGTCAGTGTGGAGTTCTGGTCTGAGGATGAGAGAAAGGAGAGAGAGAGAGAAGAGAGGAAAGAGAGAGAGACAAAGAAAGACATGGACAGAGTCAGGAAGAGAGTAAGAGAGACAGGAGTTTATTTTCAAAAATTAACTAATTAAGGCAAAAACACAAAGATAAAGCAGAGAGAGAGGGAAAAGAGTCTAAAACTACATTAAAATACACTGCAGGAG